TATTCTTGAGCTAACTGGAATTCAGCCGATTGGCAAACACACACAAACGTACATATTATAGTTTTCTCGTCGACTCCGACTCCGTCCACAGTTTTTTTTCCGCAGCTGGGTGGTCCCACGCACGGTTGCTTGCGCGCGCGAATCAGTTTACGTGATAATTGACTCGCGCGGCACCTTCACCGCTGCTCCCACTTGAGCTCCGTGTCATGGTAGGATCAAGAAAGCCGGAGTTGGGATCACACGCAATTCGACGACGCAGCATGAACCTGCACTTACATATGCCCCTCCCACACGCCTGATCTTCACACAATGCACCAGGATTTCACTAATTAACATAGCAAGTAACAGCTTGGATCCCAACTGAGTGGGAATACTGTGCAGGCCACTTCAGAAAGTAATCATTGTAGCCCGGCTCCCCGTCCTTTTTTGGGGAGCAGCATTCTAAGTTATGGGTTTTAGTGCACTAAGATAGATTCTAATGCATCAGGTCGTTGATTGTTTAGAGTAGGCCAAACCCTCTCATGTCCCTTGCGCTCTGTGAGGCAGAGGTCGGGCGCAGTGGCTGACAGATCGTAAAAGGCCGCCTGTGCGTGCCACGCACATGACCTGGTGAGAATATATGAGCTGTTGAGAAGAAGAAGACTCGATCGCTGGGACAATACGTTTATTCGCCTGACGTTTCGGCATACCTCGCGGATTCATCATCAGAGACATGACCGGCGGTGTTTTTATGCATATATTTCTTTAATGACACGCACATGGCCGAGTAGGCGCATAAGGGGTAAATGCATTTGCGTGAATGCGGTAGGGGTACGTTGATGCTTCGGACACTCGTTTAGCATCCAGACAACCAAGGGGGCGATGTCGTGCTGTGGCGCGCGCAGACGTGTTCACCGGCCCTATCACTCACTAGGCCTCTTCCACAACAGACAACTTACCCACATGGACGTCGGGCTGATGCTGGATGGGTTGACGACTCACTACTCTCTTCACTACAAACATGCTGACATGCTTGGAGATATCACGGTGCGCTAAAAGGCGTGGCTTGGATGGTTGTCAGCTGACGGGAAACACGGACTGCGTGGGCAGTCCAGAGCGATTCGTTATGCTGAATGCCAGACTGGTAGTCGGAGAGTCAGGCTGCAATGGCTCCTTCTCAACGTGGCCTTTCTGGCGCTATCTGTCGGGAGCCTACCTAGCGAGACGTGCTGTTGGTACGCGTGTTGAGCGTTGGTCGCGCCAGCCATCTGCGCCTTCCC